ACACTGTGCGTGGGAGAACATACATTCTCTCACTGCTCTGCATGGAGTGTTCAAGCTCCACGTTGGCTGACCTAGTGAGGACCCTACATTCTACCGCTCCTCCATGAGGTCTGTCCCAGGTGGGGGCCACACATCATACCATTGCTCCATGTGGCTGTTCCAGGTGGGACCACACTTTTTTTTTAAATTTTATTTTATTATGTTATGTTAGTCATCATATAGGACCACACATTCTATCGCTGCTCCATGTGGGCTGTTCCAGGTGGGACCATACAGTCTATCACTGCTCAAGGTGGGCTGTCCGTGGTAGGGACCATACATTCTATCCTTACTCCATGTGGGCTCTCTCAGCTGGGACAATATATTCTACCACTGATCCAGGTGGGCTGTTCAGGTGGGGACCAGACTTTATATCACTGCTCTACCTGGGCTGTTCCAGGTGGGACAATTCATTCTATGACTGCTACACTTGGGCTGTTCTAGGTGGGGACCACATATCTAATCACTGCACCACAGAGGCTGTTCCAGGTGGGACCATCCATTCTAACCTCACTCCACCTGTGCTGTTCCAGGTGGGATAATATATTCTACCACTGCTCCACCTGGGCTGTTTTGCTGGGGACGAGACATTCTACCAATGCTCTTCAAGTGCTGTTCCAGGTCAGGATCAGACATTATATCACTGCTTCTCATGGGCTGACCCAGGTGGGGACCAGACATTCTATCTCTGCTCCTCATGGGCTGTTCCAGGTGGGACCATACAGTCTATCCCTACTCCACGTGGGCTGTCCTAATTGGAACAATATATTCTACCACTGCTCCAGGTGGGCTGTTCAGGTGGGGACCAGACATTCTATCTCTGCTCCACATGGGCTGTTCCAGGTCGGACCATACAGTCTATCACTGCTCCATGTGGGATGTTCCAGTGGGGAATCTGTGAAAGACTTCTGTACTTATGATCTGTGTGGTCATGATGCGTACATACCTCAACATTTCTAAATGATTCAGAGTTTACCATATGATAGCTTAGGGAATGTTGTCCCTCAGTGCAGGAGGGTTTCTACCCCAAAATATTTAAGAGTAGAGCCACTGGTCTTGAATAGTATTCTGTGACAAGATTATTTATTAGTTTCCTCTCCCTTATAAGGTTATAGGACTATTTAAATTTTCTGTTTGTCCCCCTATGAGTTGTGATGTAGTTTTCTTGATCAATTTGTCATAACTCTCCAAATTGACTTACATAATAGTATGTCATATTCTCAGATAATCACATCTATATACACTCAAAAACCATTAATTCCCGATGTAATACCAGCATGTTATGGGCTGGCAACTAGGAATCGAACGTGTAACCCGTCTGAATTGCACAAAAGGAATATAAAGCTGGTTCTCAGGTTCTTTAGTGATTAGCTAGGGCAGAACAGATGCACGCTAATCAGCAGAAAATGCCGGAAATAAAATCTGACTTAGTTGTCAGTGGCTGCGTCTTTACAACTCCTTTAATGGAGTTAATGTTGCTATGCAATATGCTACTGAGTACATCCCATCTGTGAATGTGTAAGTCTAACTGCAAGCCGAATTCAGAGGCAAGACACTAACTTATGACAAAGTGGAAATAAGATATGCTTTGAAACGAGGATTCCAACATCACAGGTGTGTGTCAGGGGCACATACACACCAGTCCTCTGCTCTCTGTGTTATCTGCACAGGGTGCTGCAACAAAATACGGATCTAGACTTGTCCACATATGGGTGCAGAGAGAGCTTTTATAACCCTGTGAAAATGTCGAAGAGTGTCCCAAACACCTAAAACTGTGAGAACTCAAAGCACAGTCCTAAGAAAACTCCAAGTGTGATCGTGTGGCCCAGATGTCCCCTCTCCCTGGTTCAGTGAAGACAAACATATCTTGCTAGCAGGAACTCTCAGGTGCACTTGGGGAAGAGACAGGTGACCTTCCCCAACAACCCCAGGGGAGAGACGTCTGGTCTACCTAAGCCCACGTATCAGGGAGATCCCGACTCCCAGATACCCAGATCCATCAGTGGGTTTTGAGCAGGTGCTGGGAAAATGTGACCAGCACTGCTACGTGGAAACATACCTCGAGGTGTATAAGAAGAGTCTCTCCCTCCTGTACACTCCCTCTAGCCATGCTCCCTTGGTCCCACCTTGGATGTGGAAAGGGGAGGTGGCTGGGTGGGTGGGTGATGTCAAGGGACAAAGTCTAATTGAAAGAGCAACACAGTCTGGCTTGGGTATAAACCTGTTCCACCTAACTGTTACCTCCAAAGCGCTGACCTGTGACATCCAGGTGGAAGGACACCTTCTGGCCCCCGGCCTCACAGCTGTACTCCCCAGCGTCCGCCTTGCCCACCTGCTGCACCACCAGCCGCCTGCTGCAGCCCTCGGCCTCCATGCATATTTTGGAGCTTGCACTCAGCTTCTTCCCATCCTTGTACCATGTCACCTCCGTCTTGTCCTGGGCCACCTCACAGCTCAGGGTGGCGCTGGCCCCCACCTTGGCCTGCAGCTCACTGCGTGCTGGCTGCTCCTTGGCAAACACAGCTGCAGGCTCTGGGGACAGGGAAGGATGCATGGGGTCAAAGATACCATGTAGGTCAAAAATACAGCCCTGGGATTGACAGATGAATGGATAAAGATGTGGTATATATATACAATGGATTATTACTCAGCCATCAAAAAAATGAAATCTTGCATTTGCAACAACGTGGATGGAACTACAGGGTATTATGATAAGTGAAATAACTCAATCAGAGAAATACAATTATCATATGATTTCACTCATATGTGGAATTTAAGAAACAAAAACCAAGGAGCATACAGGAAGGGAGGGAAAAATAAAGCAAGACAATATCAGAGAAGGAGACAAACCATAAGCGACTCTTAACTTTAGGGAAACAAACTGCTAGTTGCTGGAGGGGAGGTGGGTGGGGAGATGGGATAACTGGGTGATGGGCATTAAGGAGGGCACATGCTGTAATGAGTACTGGGTGTTATATACAACTGACGAGTCACTGAACTCTACCTCTGAAACTAATAATACGTTATATGTTAATTAGTTGAATTTAAGCCCTGGGAAAATAGGCCTAAACAGGGAGGAGGGGGGACTGGAACTCTTTCCAGGCTCTATACCAGCTGTGTGGTCTGAAGAAGTCCTACCACTTTCTCAGCAACAACGAACACAATTTATCTACACACTCTATCACTGCTCCACGTGGGCTGTTCCAGGTGGGGAGTCTGAGAAACTTCCCATGTATATGGACTCTGTGGGGTCATGATACATGTATTTCTCTACTTTTCTAGAGGACATCAGATCTTTTCTGTATGGTTTGAAGGTAATTTTTCTACCTCTAGTCTACAAAGCTCCTGAGACTCCAAGCTGTTTCCTATCTTAGTATTGTCAACTGGTGGCTATCTGGTGGGAGTCATTGTTCTTCCCCCGATTGTCACTGTCTGCTGATTCATGAGGCTGGGCACCTTCCCCAATATTACTAGGCTGGCCATAACTATTTGCTCTTCGGTGGTGACACTCTTCGTGTGTTTGCTCATACACCAATAGTACTGTTTTTTCTCTATTCATTTTAAGACACTCTTTATATATTTAAATGTTAAAAAATGACAACTATGTGTTTTAAAGTTCCTTTCCCAACTCTGTGACTTGCCTTTCACTCTCTCATGGCCTCTTCTGATGAATGAAATTTTGGCTTTAATGTAGTCACATAGGTCTATCTTGTCCCCTTGCATTTAGGGTATTTGTGTTCTGTTGAAGAAATCTTTCTTTACTAACTCTTTAAAAAATTGTGCTGTCATTGGAGGGTTTTACGATTTTAGCTTTTATACTGAGGTCTCCAACCCACCAGGAGTTGATTTTTTTATGTTGTGTGAATTCCCAGTACAATTTATTTTTTTCCATATGGTTAAGTGACACAAGCACTATTTATGAAAACAACAACCCTTCTCTACTTCTTGCATAGACACTGCAGTAAAAACAAAACAAAACAAAAAACACCTGGGGGTTGGCAGGAGTCCATTTATGTAAGAATCTGTTTCTGTTTTATTTTGTTCCCTTGATCTGGTAACTATCCCTGCATTGAGGTGCACAGAGAGCATATATCCATGTGCAAAAGTGTCCTAAAACAACTAAAACATCATAATTCAAAGTTTAGTTGAAATATTTCCAAGTATGATTATATGGTCAAAACTTCCCCTATCCTGATTTAAAGAAATCAGGTTCTTCACTAGCAAGAACCCGATACACTCCTGAACAGGGCATCTGGGGCAATCAAAAAAGCACAGTCAGATAACCAAGGTGTGGGATGCTTAGTCTACTTCAGCACCCGAGCGTGACGCACAGCCATAGTCCTGTGCACCAAGGAACTCTGGGAGTGCTCTGTGCAGGTGTTCAGATGCATAAGTAAGCATTATGACATGAAAGCACCACTCAGGGCCCCAAAAATGGCCCCTCTCGCTCTACACACCCTTCTCATTAAACGTCCACTGGTCTAGCCCTGCCTATGAAATTAGAAGGCCAGGATGGCAGAGGTGAAAGGGTGAAGACTAATGGAAGGAGAATCAGAGCCTGTGGGGTCTGTAATGCAATTGCTTCATTACCTCCAAACAAGACTAAGTTAGTACCAGAAGGAACTGACCTGCCACGTCCAGGTGGAAGGACACCTTCTGGCCTCCGGCCTCACAGCTGTACTCCCCAGCGTCCGCCTTGCCCACCTGCTGCACCACCAGCCGCCTGCTGCAGCCCTTGGCCTCCACGTGCACTTTGGAGCTCGCACTCAGCTTCTTCCCATCCTTGTACCACGTCACCTCTGTCTGGGCCTGGGCCACCTCACAGCTCAGGGTGGCGCTGGCCCCCGCCTTGGCCTGCACCTCCCTGCGTGCTGGCTGCTCCTTGGCAAACACCATTGCAGGTTCTGGGAACAGGGAAGGACACACAGGGTCAGAGTCACCTTGTAAGTCAGGAAGGCAGCACTGGTGAAAGGAGCCCAAATGGAGAGGCAGGGGGACAGAAACTTCCCCAGGTTCTGCACCAACTGTGTGGCCTGGAAAAGCTCCCTCAGCAATGGGTGGCCACAATCCATCTACACCACCCACCACAGCTCCGTGCTGCTCCAGATGGGGATGCCGTGAGACCTCACCACGCACACACTCCTCTAGGAGACGATCGGTGGGGTCACGACGCATGCACACCTCAGCCTTCCCAGGTGACGCAGGCTTTCCACAAGTGTGCAGAGGAGTTCCTCCACTCCACACTCATGCCCACTGTGTTGTCAACTGTCGGCAACCCAGGGGGAGTGAAGCTGTAAGTGCCTGTGGCTGTCTTTGGCTTTGCTCTGAAGACTGACAAAGTGATGCGCATTTTCTGATGTGTTTGGCCATTAGCATCTGAAACCAATACTGCACTATATGTTAACTAACTGGAATTTAAATAAAGTACTGAAAGAAAAATTAAAATAAATTCCACTTATTTCCTTTATTTTGTATCTTTATCTTATTCTCCTCCTTATTGTGCTGCCCATTGTTGGACAGAAAGCCTCCTTACCTCGTTTCCAATCACAACGTCAGGTCTTCCATTTTTTTTTTACATTAGTTTCAGGGATATAATTTAGTGATTCATCAGTTGCATATAACACCCAGGGCTCATCACCTCATGTGCCCTCCTTAATGCCCATCACCCTGTTACGCCCTTTCCCCACCCACATCCCCTCCAGCAACCAGCAGTTTGTTTCCCTAGAGTTAAGAGTCTTTTATGGTTTGCCTCCCTCTCGGTTTACATCGTATTTTATTTTTCCCTCCCTTCCCCTATACTCCTCTGTTTTGTATCTTAAATTCCACGTATGAGAAAAATCATATGATATTTGTCTTTCTCTGACTAACTTATTTCACTTAGCATAATACCCTCTAGTTCCATCCACGTCGTTGCAAATGAAAGATTTCACTTTTTTTTGATTGCTGAGTAATATTCCATTGTATGTATGTCCACCTCTTCTTTATCCATTCCTCTGTCGATGGACAGCTGAGCTCTTTCCACATCTTGGCTAATTGTTAAGTGTGATGCTAGCTGGTGTTTCCTGTACTACTGTTTTCCAAATTAAAGAAGAGCCCCTTTATTTACAGTTAGTTAATAATTTTGTATTACAAGACAAATGGATAAAGAAAATGTGGTCCAGGGGTGCCTGGGTGGCTCAGTCATTGAGCGTCTGCCTTCGGCTCAGGTCGTGATCCCAGGGTCCTGGGATCGAGCGCTGCATCCGGCTTCCTGCTCCACAGAAAGCCTGCTTCTCCCTCTCCCGCTCCCCCTGCTTGTGTTCCCTCTCTCACTGTGTCTCTCTCTGTCAAATAAGTAAATAAAATCTTAAAAAAAAAGAAAAGAAAAGAAAATGTGGTCCAAATATACAATGGAATATTACTCAGCCATCAGAAATGATGGATATCCAAATTTTACATCAACATGGATGGGACTGGAGGAGATTATGCTAAGAGAAATAAGTCAAGCAGAGAAAGTCAATTATCATATGGTTTCACTTATTTGTGGAACATAAG